AATAATACTTCTCTGTAAAGATTGGGGAAACAATTTTAAAGAAAAAAACATAAGAATATTTTAGTTTTTCTTTATCACTTCAAAAACTATCCAATTCTTTTAGCACCAACAGCAGCTACTAAAGCATTTCTCCACTTGCTGAGATCAGTTAGATGCATTCAATAATATAAGGTCCTAATATGAATCACATCTGAATATAAACCATTTACTGCTTGGATCACAAATATTAGAGCATTGTTTAGGAACGTTGCTCATTAACAATGTATTAGAGTTTTATGATCCAACGGTTCGGAGTTGGATCCTTGTTACCCCTTTCTTAATACAATCTTGAATTCTTGTTTGAAAAGGCAAAGTGGGGTTTATGTGTCTTCCGTGCAAGAGATCTGAGGCTGGTTTTAATTAAACAGTAGCAGCAACGATAATTTGCACTGTGATGATGATCGTGGGACAGAAATTGCAAGAACACTTGTATCTAAATCATTTAAGTTATTATCTTGCACATGCATAATGACACGTTTTCTTTGCATATTTCATATGTTTTTAAAACAAATCATTTTAGAGCTTACAAGAAATTATAGCATGTGAATAAATTTCACCCATTTCCAATGCATAAACTTTCCTGTAATTATGTACTTACATCAGGAAACTTCTCAAAGTTTTGTGTGTCCAAGTCTCCGATGACTGTAGGTTTATATGCAGCTTCCGATTCATAAAGCATGTCCCACTGAATACCCTTGAACCATGGATGAGCCTGAAAAACAAGGGCTAATATGTTTAGTATTTTAATAGTATTTGGAATCTTCTAACCACATAACACTAACTGCCTAACTTTTGAGGAATCATCAATTTCTTAACTAGAATATAGTTAGTATTTTAATGAATTGCCATAATAATTAAGCTATGCATGTTTGGTTTCAGTAGAGTATCATAATTGACTTTCCTTCCTGTCAAGCGTGATTTTAGTGAAAATAGGAAATTGGAAGCCTTCCTGAAAAGGACTTGGGTGTTATGGGGTGTCTAAGCCCCACATCCAGTAGTATGGAGTGCTGGGTGGAGTATTTAAGTAGTTTGGCTTCCCCTTTAGTAGGTAGATTTTACAGGAGGGTTTCCCAAGTTCTTAAATACTTATCCCTTCCCAATGCACTTTTTACCGAATCGACATGTTAGCTTTTGTATAAATTTCTTTTGTAAATCAACCATCCTGTTTAGCTACTGTCATGCCAAATATTTTGGAATCCAAATCTTGATTTGTCTAAGAGTGATAAAGTAGCTTTTACACTTAGTTAGACATTTTACTGTAAGTTTTACATCAAACCAACTTTTAAAGTAAAAAACACTCGAACATTGCCAAATATTTTGGAATCCAAATCTTGATTTGTCTAAGAGTGATAAAGTAGCTTTTACACTTAGTTAGACATTTTACTGTAAGTTTTACATCAAACCAACTTTTAAAGTAAAAAACACTCGAACATTAATTATTTTACTTTAAACTCAATTGTAACCCAATCAATTTGGCAAAAATAATTCCATTCAAAATTACATTTATAGAGCAGTCACCCAAACAAACAATATTCCCATGGGAGTTTTTACCTTTATTTCGTCTACTCCCCTCGTTCCTAGTCTTGTGTCAACATCACATAATAAGCTACAGATGAGATCCTTAGCTTCAGCTGATATCTTGGGTTCTTCGGGGAATTTCAGGCATGCTTTCCAATTCACAATCTGACACAATACAGGAATACCAGCTTGTTGGAAATAATTAATTTAGAAGATATAGAAAGGATGGAAATTTCAATCAACCCCAATACCTTCCGGCAGGTCATCCTTGGATCATCAGAACAAAAAGGAGGATATCCAACAAGCATCTCATACAAGATTGCCCCAAGAGACCACCAATCACACTCCATTCCATACCCCTTCTTGAGCAAAACTTCAGGAGCCATGTAGTCAAGAGTTCCAACAGTTGAATATGCCTGATGAAATGTAAAAGATGATAGAGTTAACAGACTTCGTAGTTTAAACATCAAACAAAATAGGCACTTAATATTAGCGGAGGCGTGATAATTTTTGAATAAAAGTTAAAGCATTTTTGGATTTGATTATTCTCTGTTTTTGAAGTAAAAAGTGCTCCCTGGATGATTTTTTATTTTAAACAGTTTCCAGTACCAAATAAACTAACTCAAACGAACATCAATCCATATACTTCAACTATTTGTCAGTTATACCAATAGGTACGCATTTCATAAGAAATGGGGGAGACTCATACCAATGCACGGCGATTACGTTTCCACTGCTGTAATTTTTCCTTTGGCATCAACCAAGGGGAGACAAAATATCCTTCAGTTTCACTAGTTGATTCTTGACCGTTAAAATCTTCATTTTCTAATAAAATTGTTGAATACTTGTCATCAAGAGTCTTACATAAGCCGAAGTCTGAAAGCTTCAAATGACCATTTTTATCCAGTATAAGGTTATCTGGCTTTATATCCCTACAAGCAAAATACCATAACTCAGCATAGCAATATTTAACTCAATAAATTTTGGAATATTTCTCCGGATACATGTTAGTATGTTAAATATAATTTTATATAAGTTAGGTAAATGTGGCTTTGGTGATTCTATTTTCATCACCTGAAGACCCTCTTAATATTGTTGGAAGCTATGTTATCAATCTCGGATAGCGGCACGGAACGGGAGCGGAAAGCAGAACGGCTGATATTTAAGTGACGCGGATACTAATATAGTTAATACTAATAAACACATAATTGTCAAAACTAAAATAAATTAATCAAAATGCATGAAGCATTCATATTTAGAAATAAAAGTCAGAAGTCTTGAGCAAAACATATTTGCAAATGTCAATAAAATTCAATAAAGTAACTTTGTTATCCTTAAAATTTTAAGGGTAATATCATTTACGACTGACGCGGCCGGAGTGGCTGCTTTGACGCGGCGTCGTTATGAATCCAATCCCATTATTGTGCTCGATCCAGCTGAGTCACCCATATGTGACGGAACGGCACGGCCTGACACGGTTTTCTTGATTTTGCTGTTCCGTGCCGAGATAACGGCCGGAATGGCCGAGTTTAATAACAGAGATTAAAAGATCAGTTGGCTGTACAATAATTTAATTTAAGTCATTTCACAGCAGCATAAAAGTGGACAATGACTGAAGAGAGTGTTCCTAAATATAGTCCTTTATAATCTGATGACAAGCTAAATTATAAATTGCATAAGCTTTACACTCAACATTTGCATTCCTTATTAGTATGGTAAGCTGATTGCATGTAAGATACGCTTTTGACTAATTTAAAGAAGCCGGTGTTTTATGTTTGTTAGACCAAGCCAAGCTTGGCTACACCTTCCAAGTGTTCTCTGCCCACAATTCATAGTCTGTTGTGCATAAACTGGCAATTGCCAACCAGTAATAGAACAAAAATTGTATAGTTCAAAAATAGTCATACCTATGCACATAGTTGTGTTGATGTACTGAATGGATGGCAAGAATACTTTCAGCAATGTAGAAGCGAGCAACATTTTCAGAAAGAATATCTTCTCTCATTAACAGTGTCATAATGTCGCCGCCAGGTAAATATTCCATGATGAGATATAGGAAATCTGAATCTTGGAATGAATAATGGAGTTTTACTATGCATCGGCTATCAACCTCTGCCAGCAAGTTCCTCTCAGATCGTACATGTTCCACCTAAATTAGAATGACATCAAGATGTAAAAATAAGCACGCTAATTGATTCCAAGCTCCAAAGGAAAGAATACCTTTATAGATCATTCCTTGCACTCTTGCATTGAAATTTTTAATCTGTACAATTATTGAACCCAAAACTTCCCATAACTGATTTTATTCTATTTTTATTCACAATCAAAGCACAGTAGTCCATCCCAGATAGCAGCGCGGAGCAGCCGATCCGAAAACTGTGATAGCATATAGCGGGATGGCCGCTATGTGATCTTTATTGGACACATCGGTGAAGGAAGGTTAGGGTTGAGTCTCAACTCAAATTTGATTGAAAAACCCAAAATCACCTTTAAAACGCTTAACTTATGAGGTAAATTTGGTTTTTCATAAGGGAAAAGGAAAGCGGGACAGAAACTGCTCTGGGCCGGGAACCCCTCCGCCCCCGCTACCCGCTATTTACCCTATAGCGGTCTCTATAGTGTTTTGCACCGCTAAGGCTCTTCCCATGGCGGCCGCTATAGTGTTCTGCACCACTAAGGCTCTTCCCACTATTGACTACTCTGAGTCAAAGTACAAATGGCATCAGCTTTCTGACAGTTTAAATAAAATTGTAAAACAACAGACTGCTAGAAACAGCAGGCAAGTATAAAGAAGAATCAAGTTTGATGATTGTACAACTCCTAGTAAAAATATGATTACAAAAAGAAGATACTATTTTCTGATAAATGAAAACGAGCAAGGCATCCCAGCTGTGTACATTAATGTTTGGAGTTAAAATTAAGTTTTACCATATATAAAAACTAAAACTAAAATCAAACCATCACAGCATCGGTTAGTTTAATTGGGGAAGTATTAATGAAACCAATTACATGGAAGAAATAGGGCAAAACGGATAAATTATGTCGTTTGATTCTTTTCTGCAATAACTGGTGCAATTTTGAATAGTAATGCATTAAAGTAGTGCATGTAAAGTTTGACAGACGGTACCTGCCCACGGCTAAGCATCTCTGACTTCTTTAATTTCTTCATGGCGAAAATCTCTCCACTACTTTTACCACGGCATAACCTAACCTACATTTTTCAAAAAAGTTAACAACTTACAGTGATGCATGAACATACTTTAAGTTCACAACAACCAAACACCATCCAAGAAACTACAAGTTTATGAAGTAGAATTAGCACTAATCAATTGCTTAATTGTGTTTCCATACCTCACCGAAAGCACCTTTACCAATTACTGTTAATTGCTCAAAGTCATCAATTCCAATTTTACGTCTTTGAAGCCTCATGTACTCGGTTTCTTTGCGCTCCAAATTCCTCATCATCACTTCCTGCTCTTCCACCGGTAATTGAGATTCCTGCACTCTCCTTTGAAGCGCTCTACGTCTGAAACATATCAATAACAAATTTCAAATAATTAATAACACTTGATATTACATATATACAAATGACATTATCATAATCACCTATTATACCAAATTACATATAAACCATATTGCTTGAGTGCAAATAATCTTATAATCCACTTAATATACCAAATTACAGATAAACTATACTATTAAGTGCAAAAAATCTTATAATTCACATAATAATCTAAAAACCTATTTCTATATGCTAAATTTTTGTGCTGTTGCATCAAAGCCATAAAAATTCAGAATGATTTCATTCAATGAAGAAATTGCCAAATGAAGCCTTAGATTAGAAATCTAACTATTTTCAATTCAATTCAAACATATATTAATAAACTCATGCTGAAGGATTATCGATTAATTTGCAAAGATTTGAAACTAAATTTACACATACTACTAAATACCGAAGATCACGAAGTGAAAGTAATCAATACGAAAAGGAAAGGAAAAAATCTAAAACAGTGAAATGCGAATAGTAGTAGTAGGAGGAGGAGGTAGGTAGTTCGGTAGCTATGTATGTAGTTGTGTACCTATCTTTGCGATCCTGCAATCCTTGAAGATAATTCTTGTAATGATTCTCGATGAATTGTTTAGCGGCGGCGGCTTTCTGTTTAGTAACCGGAGAAGAAACCGACACGTCGGCACCGGAGTCAAATTCGCCGCGATCATACTTCATGTTAATAGCTCCAAGCCTAACGGTTCCATCGTAACCGTCCATTTGGATCGCCGATCACGAGATCTGTGATTGCGATGGTGATGAATAATCCGGGAAGATTCAACACGACGGTGTTAGTAGTGATGGAGTTGTTGTAGAGAGAGATAGAGAGGAGTATTTGTTGGGATTGAAAAAAGTGCTTCAAAGCTGTAGTGAAGCTGTCTTATCTGTGACTATGAGTTGTCTCTTCTACAAATTTAATATTTAAATATTTAAATATTAAAATAATTTGCTTGGTAATAATATAAAGGGGGAGAATATAGAATTTTTTTCATCCCTACCATCTTTTTACAAACTTATTTCTAAAATACCACAAGTTTCAATAAATATACCAAAATGCCATCGTTTCAAAAAAATTATTTTTTTGGCACAAGGGTGCCGCCCATTCAATGGGCGGAAGTGTCATATTTTTTAAAGGTGCCGCCCTTTCAATGGGCGGTAGTGACCAAATCTGATTTTTTCTTTTAAGTTTTAATTAAGACACTGCCGCCCATTGAATGGGCGGCACCCTTGTACCAAAAAATCAATTTTTTTGAAACGGTGACATTTTGGTATATTTGTTGAAACTTGTGGTATTTTGGAAATAAGTTTGTAAAAAGATGGTAATGATGAAAAAAATTCGAGAATATAGTAGTAATTTATCTTCTTTCTTGTTTTATTATTTTTAGAAAATAGAAAGAGAAATATTTATATGCCAAAAACTTTAAAATTAAAATATATTCTAAAAAGAGCAAATCATTTTAGAAGCTTAAAGGATAATTTCAAGTTTTTATTAACAAAAAGTTAGATTACACAATTCACACGCATCCGCGCATAGGAATATTCCTTTTAATTACTCTTGTTCTTTTATAGTGAAATTTATGTGAGTCGTCAACAAAAGAAATTAATCCAATATTTCTGTATTGTTATACTTTTATACTATTTCATTAACAAATAATCTTATATATATTATTTATTATACTTTTATTCAATGTTTTACTTTTATATTGTTATACTTTTATACTATTTCTATAAAGTTTAAAGTTTAAAAAATTTACTTATTCAATGTTTCACAATATTCATATATTTGTTGGAATTGAACAAAATATAGAGAGAGAGAGAGAGACTAGCTTTCTAATCTCAAAATGCAAAAGTTTAAATCTATTACAAATTCAACTAGTTTTGGGCTTATATAAATTCACCCAAAACTCAAATGCACATTAAATGTGTTTTGCACTGGTCATATTATCCTTCAATAATTCTTTCTACTTTGGTGTATGGTCGTGTCAAATTAATACCTGAATTCGATCGCCCTGCATTAAATAAAATATGTGTAAAAACTAAATATATTTGAATCAACTACACAAAATATAAACATTTTTGAAAAGCATAAATGAGATAAATAGAAAAATAAATCATGAATTGTATGATACCTTTGCATCCATTATAACCTTTTCAAAATGTTATATACCCTTGTTGTTAATCACATTCCATAAATTGAGAATACAAACAATAAAATGTCATGTTTTCTTCGAATCATTGACGTCCTTAACGCAATCGAAATTGGGAGACATTTTTTCCTGCAATTGTTTACTCAAAGAAAGAACACTCAGATACTTATAAAAACAGCATCAACATATCATAAATAACAACTTGAAGACAACAACATCATGAACAATAACTTGAATATTATAAAGGAAACCATTTATATTATATTTGTATTCATCAACTTAACCTAACCTAACACACATACAACTACGTCAACAACAACAACTTAAATATGACTCTGAAAACAACAACATCGTGAAAAATAGCATTGGTTCTTTTACACAACTTTAATATTCATGCAAAGAAACTTGAAGAGGATGTAGAACAACTACCCAAAGTAAAAGATTCATATAAATTACTAGAAGAAGAAATTGTTTACCTTTTTGAAGTGAGTATGCAAAACTGTTGTGAATTGATGTCATCAAGAACAAATCAAAATATGAGAAAAAGATTGAGTTTCTTGAACAAACACAAGAAACTCTATTAGGTTTTATAAAAGGTAGAAAATAAAGAAGCAGAATAATAAGAATTGGTTAAAAAAAAATTATTCACTTACTCAATAAGGGTTCAAAGATTACAAATGCATACCAACAATTAACCTCTTTTAATAATCTGAAAGAATTAGTATATTTATAGACTACTAAGTCAACTTATGATACAATCTAACTTAACATTTGGGCTTAGAAGTAAGGCTCAATTCAACATATTAACTTAAATTACAAGTTAATATATTTAGACATTATGCTCGAACAGACTTCGACTATAACATACACAACTCACGTCGAACCATGAAGCTACCCTTATCGACACTAGAGTTTGATCCAAACACCACAAATCTCCACCTTGGAATAAACTTTATAACAAGGTAATAAACTAGCTTTTATCATGAAACTTTATCAACTGCATACAGTGGAAAAACTTATTACCTAACAATGTCTTGGTGATCATATCAACATCATTGTCGTCAGTTGAAACCTTCAGCACTTAGACTTATCAACGCTTGATTATCTCTTTGATGAAGTGCAACCTCACATCGATGTGCTTAGTTCACTCATGGTAGGCTAAATTCTTCGACGGGTATATTGCCCTTTGATTATCACATTTAACAGCAATAACTCGACCTTGAAGTTTCAGCTTCCTAGCAAAACCTTCAAGCCATAATGCTTCTTTCAGAGCTTTAGTAAGGGTGATATACTCTGCTTCAGTGATTGATAAGGCAACAACCTTCTGAAGTGTTGCTTTCCAATTAATTGTTATGCCAAACATAGTGAACACATATCCAGAAATCGATTTTCTAGAATCCATACAACCTGCATAATCGGGGTCGACAAATCCTTCAATTTCGACTTTACTATCATCACCACAGGCTCCACTATAAATCAGGACTCGAATCAAAGACCTATTTATGTATCTAAGAATCCACTTTAATGCTTGTCAGTGCACCTTCTTAGGATTGGCCATATACCTGCTTATATGGGTTACTCCGTATGTTATGTTTAGCATTGTATAAACCATATCATACATCAAAGAACATACTATACTAGCATATAGAATGCTATTCATATATACTTTTTCGACTTTAGTACTAGGACTTTGAGTCATACTTAGCTTATCTTGAGGATTACTCGGTGTTAGAACAAGCTTTGAATTCAACATACCAAACTTGTCGAAAATCTTCTTCAAGTATGTCTCTTGAGATAAGCATAACCTCAATTGCTTTCTATCTCTCAGAACGTCAATCCCAAGAATTTTGGAGGCAACTCTCAAATCCTCCATGTCGAACTCCTTATCGAGTTCAGCCTTCGCCTTCATAACATCTTCAACACTGTTGCTTTCTATGAGAATGTCATCCACATAAAGCAACAAAATAACAAATGAGTTTCCAGGTCTAAATCTGAAGTAAACACAATGATCGAACTGACTCCTAGTGAAACCAATGTGTGTCATGAACTTGTTAAATCTCCAATTTCATTATCGATGATATTATTTTAGGCCATACAAGGACCTTTTCAACTTGCGCACATAATATTCCTTTACCTTTTCTGCATACCATTCAAGTTGCCTTATACGATTATTTCATCTAGATCACCATACAGGAAGGTTGTCTTCACATATATCTATTCAAGTTCTAGGTCAAGCTTTTCCACCATGGCTAACAATATTCTAATGGATCTATGCTTTACAATAGGTAAGAATACATCATTTAAGTCGACATCTTCTTTTTGAGTGAACCCAGTAGCAACCAACATCGTCTTAAAACACATTGACATTACTCTTTTGATTCCTTCCTTAACCTTGAAGATCCATTTACAGCTGACTAACTTGGCCCCTGCATGTTTCTCGATCATTTCCCTAATGTTATTATCACATAGAAATTTCATCTTATCATCCATGGCTTTCATTCATTCAGTCTTACCTTGACTCCTCATAACTTCCTTATAGTCTCTATGTTCTTCGTCAAGAATCTTACTTGCTGAGATTAAGGAATAAGCTATGAGATATGCATAATCAAGTCTCTGAGGTGGCTTGATGACTCTTCTCGACTCGTCTCTTACCAACAGGTAGTCATTATCAGTCTCTTCATCTTCGACAACAACTTCTACTTCTTCTTCGACTTCATTTGGGTCACGCAATTCAGCATCACTATGTTCAACCTCAATAGAAATCTCTTCCTGTTCTAGCTCTTCTTCATAGATCTCCGAACTATGACCAATGTCATCTATTTTCTTGAAATCCATATCAGCTTCATTGAAAAATACATCTCAACTTATGATACATCTCCTGTAACCTGGCTATAGAAACCATAACCTATAAGCTTTGACTCCTTTTGGGTATCCAAGGAACATACATCTTAGAGCTATAGGTTCGACCTTGTCTTTCTAATATGAGCATAGGTAAACAACCAAATACTCTAAGTTTGTCTAGAATAAGTGGATGTCCCGACCAGACTTCTTCAAGTGTATTCATTCCCAAGGTTGTCGAGGTACGCTTATTAATCAAGTAAGTTGTAGTCATGATTGCCTCAGATCAAAACACCTTTTTCAATATTTCAATAGCTAACATGCACCTCACTCATTCTCAAATAGTTCGATTAAACCTTTCATCCAAACCACTTTGTTAGGGAGTACCTGCAGTAGTTTTGTGCCCTGCAATACCATGCGCAATAAGATAGTTGTCGAAAGCCTCATTGCAAAATTCAAGATCATTGTCGTTTCTCAACCTCTCTACCTTCTCGCCAATTTGATTTTTGACAAAAGTCTTCCACTTTTAAAATTTTCAAAAGTTTCATCCTTAGTCTTCTAGATGAATACACATAACTTTCTACAATAATCTTCAACTATGGATAGAAAATACTTTGCACTTAAGTGTGAAGGATTCCTTGCATGCCCCCAAAGATCAACATGAACGTAATCAAGGGATCCATGTGTTCTTTGTTTACCTTTGTTAAACTTCATTCTACAGGATTTACTAAATAC